CATGGTATTCATCTCTGTCCTGCTGAGAGGCCAGGGAAGCCAGACTGCTATGGTACTGGCTCTGTCTGACTGTGAGAGCAGAGCCTGGATTATTAACTACCCTGCCCTGCTTGAAGGCCAGGGAATCTTGATTATTATTGGCACTGGTTCAGTCTGACTGGAATATCAGAGCCTTGGGTGCAATCACCCCAACCTGCTTGCATGGTATTCATCTCTGTCCTGCTGAGAGGCCAGGGAAGCCAGACTGCTATGGTACTGGCTCTGTCTGACTGTGAGAGCAGAGCCTGGATTATTAACTACCCTGCCCTGCTTGAAGGCCAGGGAATCTTGATTATTATTGGCACTGGTTCAGTCTGACTGGAATATCAGAGCCTTGGGTGCAATCACCCCAACCTGCTTGGGGCTAGAGAAACTGACTCGTGTACCCTTGTCCTGTCTGGCTGAGGCACCAGAATCCAGATGATTGATTGCCTGGTCCTGCCCGGAGCCTAAGGAGATTTATTCTTGGCTCCACCTAATGGAAGGGCTGGGCCTTGGGGGGGACTGATTCCCTTGTTCTACTGTGAAAGGGAGGGGCAAACCCTTATCCCTGTATAGACTACTAGTTTCCCTTTTGTAGGATAGGTCCAGGAACGCTGCAGCAAGGAGGCCTGGCCCCTCTCAGCTGCAGACACCAAGGAGTGGCCACCATCCATATACCATACAAAACATATTGACTGACAGTTGTTATATTCCTATTCTTTAATTCTTTATCAACTGAATCTAGTACCAGCTTTTCCATTTGTTTTCCTGACATTAATGCTGGGCTAGCCAGCTTATAGCTAGAAGGCTCTGCTTGCCCTTTTTGAATACCGACACAACATTAGCACTTTTCCAGTCTTCTGGATTTTCCAGGTATTTATGAGACTGGCCCTTGCTACATTTTCTGTCCACTTTTCTTAACAGGTTAAAGAGCCTATCTGACAAGCTGCTTCCAGATTCCTCAACAGCTGACTTGCTGA